ACCCTTCATGAAGACAGCTAGAGTTATCATAGACATGGATGATGGAAAGCTGAAGGTGAGAGTTCAAGATGAAGAAGTGAGTTTCAATGTATTTGAAACAACGAAGTTTCCAAAAGGCAACAAAGATTGCTTTAGAATTGATGTATTAGATGATGTGTACTTGGAAACTCAAAATGATTTCAAGAGCTCATCGCCACTAGAGAAGGCTTTGCCTATCTCTAACGAAGAATTGGAAAAGGTCATTGGTAAAGCTTGTCATCTGCCAGTGGGATTGGAACATAAAGCATTTTGGGCTTTGAAGGCCTTAAATTATGATTTGAAGGCAGCAGGGGAGAAAAGAAAGCTTCAATTGCATGAATGGGAAGAAAGGAGATTGAAAGCTTATGAGTCCTCTAAGTCTTACAAGCGCAAAGCCAAGATATATCATGACAGGAAAATTCTGAACAGGAACTTCCAACCTGGCCAGCAAGTATTACTGTTCAATTCCAGGTTGAAACTTTTCCCTGGGAAGCTCAAATCTAAGTGGTCAGGTCCTTTCTTGATTAAATTTGTCAAATCATATGGAGCTATTGAACTTGAAGATCCTGCTTCTGGAAGGACTTGGTTGGTTAATGGTCAGAGGCTCAAGCACTATTTGGGTGGTGAAGTTGAGAGATTCACTGCCAGCACACATTTGAAGAAGCCATGAACAATCTGAATTGTCAAGCTAAAGACACTAAATTAGCATGTTCTTGTTTTAATTTCTGTTTTAGATTCTAAGTTTTATTTTGAATAGTGAGTAGTTAAGAGTTTTTGTGCATAGGGTTGTTTGAATTCAGAATGGATGTGCTTGATGATTAGCATGTTTTGGGATATGTTAAGATTGCTGATCTTGTTGAGGTTATGTTTGTGTTTTGTGTGTTAGGATATATGAAGTTAATTTGATGTTTTAGAGTGGTTGTGTAGCATTCTGAGTGTTGGGTCTGTGAGTATTTTGATGATTTGGATTGTGGAGAAATATGTCTTTGTTTATAGGGAGGTTTGATTCCCTGCTGTGTGTGATAGGTAGGTTGTGCAATAGCTGGTTGTGGTTGTTTCATGGTTGATATGTTGCTGCAGTGCATAAAATTATGTTGTTAATATATTTGAGTTGTGTGCAGTTTTAGTAGTGTGAGATAATAGAAAGAGTTAGAGTTTCAAGTTTTTGGTTCAAGTAGGTGTTTGGGGTCATATGGTTATAAGCTTGTTTGATGTGTTTCAATGGTTACAAAATTTTGTAAAATATTTAGTTCCTTGATCATGTTGGCTGCACACTCTGTTTGAAATGAAGTGGTGACTCACATTGGCCTAAAATTTTTTGAGAATTGTGAGTTAGTGGTTTAATTAGGGAGTTCAACAAAAAGAATTCAAAAGGAATGAATGATGTGTGACCTTGGTTGTAATAGCTTAATCATATGCTTTAAGATATTCTGCCATTCCCTGAAATCATGAAAAACATTAGGGACCTGAGTGATAGTAAGCTTTAACTTAGAAAATCAAATTCTAAGTCTTGGCGTTGCAGCGCTGGCATCACGGCCTTAGCGCCAACTTGCTGCCAGGGACTCTCATGTGGAAAAAATTCCACAGCTGCAGCGCCCCACTCACGGCCTTAGCGCCAACTTGCTGTCTTGGCACAAATTGCATATTTAATTCTCAACGCTCAAGCGCTAGCTTCCACAGCTAGAGCGCCAAATTGAGCTCTTTTCTTGGAACCCCACTTGAAACTCAATTCCCAGTGTTGTAGCGCCAGTCTTCACAGCCATAGCGCCCAATCTCGGACACAAGGTGTTTAAGTGCTGAACTTCTAAAGCTAAAGCTCCAGCTCTAGAGCCATGGCGCCAGGTTTCTGTTTTAGCCCAGTTGCATGTTGAATCACTCCACGCTCCAGCGCCAGGCCCACAGCCAAGGCGCTAACTCCCTGCCAAAAACCTGATGCATACAAAACCTCCAGAGCTTCAGCGTCAATTCTAGCGCCAACTTCCTGGAACTCTCCTTTAAATTCAAAAAAAATCTTCACCGCTCTAGCGCTAGTGTCACAGCCATGGCGCTGACTTTCAGCCTAGGCTTTTCACCCTTTTAAATATCCACAGCTGAATGCTCAATTGGCAGCCATGGCTGTGGGGCTCGAAGCAACTTTAAATGAGATAAGTTGGAACAGTTTCAGTCAGTTTCAAAACTGACCCTTTCCCTCTTCATTTTCACTCTCGTTTCTCTCGTGCAATCTCTATTCTCCCCACATCTTTCCTTTCCCATTCACTTCTTCTTTATAAATCTTGCATTTTTCATCATTCACCACACACTTAAACATCAAAGCACTCACCTTTTATTTGGGTGTCAAGGTAAAGTCTCCATCTTTCTACCTTTGTCTACATTGCAAATTTATTTTTTGCCGTCCCGTCGCGACCGAGGTTGCTACAATGCTTAATGATGTTATTCAATTCATTGTGAATTCAAGACAACAAATTATTAGATGTTCCTCCTTGTGCAATTGCAACTCCCATATTTGGAGTCCATTATACGATTTCTTACACTTCTAATACATTAGTTAAAAGCAAGTGGATCTTGTTGTTCCTCATGCCATGTGTAAGGAGTTCGAGATGCGGAGGGTTCACATGGAAATTTTTTAAGGCAAAGTCCGAGGTTTCACTATCTTATTAGATTCTTTGAGGACATGATTTTTTTATTTAATTCTTGTTTAATATCGAGGATCATAAGCACATGCAAGATGAATATTTTTTTATTTTAACATAATCTATTACATATCATGTAACACTATATTTTGAGTTCTTTTTTCATGATTAATTTAAGCCAAGTGTTTGACGGAAGGGAAGGGAGAGTTGAAATTTTTTGATTGTTGAAATCTTTATTTTCTTTCTCTTAGATCCTCAAGAGTCTTAGAGTGGTGTTATTGGGGGACTGATCATTGCTTCAAACATCTTAGAACTCAAGGTCAATGGTGTAGGTGCAAAGCTTGGAAGCTTGGAGTCACTCTTTCTTCCTCTCATTTGTTGTTGGAAAGCTCGAAGTCATTTCTTCTTCCTTTTCTCCTTTCTTGGTTTAGCTCGAAATTGAGATAAGGAAAGTTAGAACTTGAATTATTGTTACATTTGGAGTTACATGTGATTGGATCATCATAAAAAATGTGATTGTGTGGCTGAGTTTTGAATTTACATAAATTTTATGTTGTGAAATTGGAATTTCCAGGAAAGGTGAACCCAAAATCCAAAGTCGTTGATCTCTCATTGTTAAGAGCAAGCATATTGCATTTGAACTAATTTTCATGTTGTATATGTCGTTTAGAATCATTTTTATGGGATGCATATGAGTTTGATAGTTTTGATTTGATTTTAGGGCTTGCAGATGAGTTTGGAGTGGTGTAGAATTCATTAGAGAAGTTGTTGAAGGGTTTATGTTCGTAATTCCATGTTTGGGGATCGTCACGATCATGATTTGCACGGTCTAAGGTTGGAAAATGTTGTAAATTTGTAAACAGAGCCAATCGCGAGTGTGACTCAAGGTTCACAATTGTGATCCTTGCAACTTGAAGTCTAAAAACATGAGTAGCAGCAAAATAGAACATTTCGCGGGCGTGACAAATTTTCATAGCCATGACTAACTCGAGAGTCCCTGTATAAATCGAATTAACTATTGAAATCTTAATAAAAGTTGTAGCATTGGATGTTAGCTTTCCAATGATTTTAGAATCACCTAAAAAGGAGGACTATAACTTAAGTTGTGACCTTTTTAGTGAGCAAAGGTCAAGCTATCGGCATTAGTAAAAAATGTTATGGTTTTTATAATTTTTAGTATAATAGATGATGGAATTAGAACTTGAGGTCTTCATAAGAGTTGTAGACAAGCTTCTTATATTTCATATGAGAAAAGAATGAACTTGATAAGAGTAGTATAACTCTTTGTGTGATATTTTATGTGAAAGTTGTCATCGTATGATAGTTAATTTGGATAAGTTGTATGTTGATACATGTTGTATGATGGGTGAATTTGGTGAACATGATGAATAGAATATTTGTGCCTATTGCATGTTGTATGATGATATATAAGCATTGACATGCTATACTTGTATATTTGATATGGTGATGAGCATTAATATGCTATGTATGATTCATATGCTATAAATTGCACGGCTAGAGTGTTGATTAGGCATTGGTATGCTATGATTGAATGAATTATTGAACATTGGTATGTTATTCTTGGTTGAGGTGCTAAGCATTAATATGTTATACATGATTAGTGTGATTTGATCTCTATATGTTGAGGTATTGGTGCTAAAAATGTTGCAAATATTAAAGCATGTTGAGTGACTTAGAACTAGAGGATAGAGGTTGTTGTTTAGAAAGTTGAATATCTCACATAGGGAATATTGTTTTGGCGCTTTGGGAGACCAATTGTTGAAAACCCTTATTAAGTAGGTATGAAGTTCTTGGAGTGAATTTTGTTGAGTCTCTTATAGGTCCTTAGTTAATGTGGAGTAAAGTATGAAATCGAGGATTATAACCCTTAATTGATTACTAGAAAGGTTGTGTGGTTTATCGTTAATAGTTAGTGGACTAACTCCATAAGTGATTTAATAATGCATGTCAAGGTTGTCTTATGCCTATATTCAACTATATTAATCTTGATAGTGGAACCGGATTTTCCTAGTATAAGTGGAAGCACTTGAGCAATCAAAGGTAGGGATTGACATCCTATTTTAGTTGACGATCCAGCAGGTGCATTGGGCATAAAAGAGTGCTCATGTGAATTTAGAAGATCTTCATAGGTGAATGTGTGACGACACATTAGTTGTTGAGTATGCATATGATGTGGTGTGAGTTGTTATTATTATTCATATGCATTGGATGAGTATATTGTTGTGCTATATGATTGTGGTGAATGTTTTGATTATTTGACTGTTTTAGCTTTCAAACATGGCAATTTGTTGAGGGATGTGAATCATGTGGTGTGATTACTTGGTTAGCATGATAATGTTGAGTATAGATGTTTCTTCCTATACTTGTATGTTTTTAAAATTTAGTTTACCTTTGCTTGTTTCCATTTTGATGGATTACGATAATCATACTTTCTATGAGAACAAGATAGAGATAGGTCAACAGAAGTGAGTAATGGAGGTCATATGGTGGATGACAATACTTTTGGATGTTTTGGACTACCCTCATGGGATAGTTATGTATAGTTGTGTTTAACCAATATTTAGGATTTTATATTATCTTTATACTAGATGACTATATATATGCTATATATAATTTTAGAGTTGTTTTTAATTACTTATATTTATATACATGTTATAGTGTGCATATTTAATATTTTGAGTATAAACCCTTAAGTATGAGATAGTTTCATTACTTGTACTCCCTCCGTTTTTTTTTTCATAGTCATTTTGTCAAATTTTGTTATTTTTTTTCATTGTTACTTTTCTAAAACCAATGACTTATTATTTTTTATTTTTTATTTTTACCCCCGATAATTAATGCATGTTTACTGAACAATGTGTTTATTCATTTTCTAATGTATCTATCTCTTCTCCAACCACCTAAATGGTATAACAGGAAAATATGTAATAAATACTTTGAAAAACTAAAATATCAATCATTGTCATAATTCTTGTACATAACCTTAAACACAATAATTAAAAAAAAACGGATGGAGTAATTGTAATCCATAAATGTGATAATCATAGTAGGTCATTACATATCCAAGATTAGAAGAGACAAATCACTATCACTTGTTCTAACTAATATTAGTAGTGCAAATATAATTCTTTTTTGGTAAACTGCAAACATATTTTCTAACTTGTGTGGAGCTATTAAAAATATAAATAGTTCAAAAATATTTGTTTAATTTGCAGATAATCAGTATGTTTGATTTAAATAACCTATATAAGCCTATAAATAACTTGATGTACTTTGCTGCATTCAGTCTATAAATATTTTTTTCCCTCCCAACTTTCTCTTCATCTTTTATTTTGAGCCATGTTTTATAATACATGCACATAGCTTGGATGGTAATGTTTATAACACATGCACTAAAGTTTACGCATTAAACAAGCTTAACGTAATTAATCATAATTAACAACTGTACTACAAAATATCTTAATTAATAACTGAAATATTTAAGATCAATCCATTTTAGATATGAGATGTGTTTTTAAGAACTATCTTATAATAAGTTAGTTTCATGTGTTTCAAGAGAAATACATAATGAAAAAAAATCTTATAAACTAGTTGAAATTTATAAATTAAAAATTTATAAATTAATCAATCGAATCGAAAGTATTTGATAAATATAAGACTACATAAAAAAAATACATATTTAATTATCATATATATTTTAAACTCAAAAAAAAATATGCTTTCCATGAAAAGGAAAAATTATCAAAAGAAAGAAATAAACTCAATTTAATCCTTCACGGCATGTTTCCCTAGAAATTAAAGATGCTCTCATTTTGTATAAGAGGCTTGCTTTTTTATTTGTTTTAAATTTTTTTTTTCTTTATGAATTTGAACTTTTGTAGAGACGTATACATATTTCTCGGTTTGCCTACGTCTTCTTCCAAACTATCGGTGTGGCATGACAAATTTTCTTGAGCAATTGTTTTGTTGATGATGACGTTTGGGTAAATAGTTTTGTAATTGTTGAGTAATGCCATACAATATTAATTTCCTGAAACCAAATTCATCCATTTGGAAGAGATGTTGATTGTTCATGAACTGTTAAAGTTGTGGAGAAGCAACGACCCGTTCCAGGTGCAAAATTAACACACTAAGAGTGCAACCAGAAAGGACTGTTCTGGTTCCAGAATGTCAAACACAAATGGTCAATGATTATAGTTCACGGTTGTGAATCATGGAAGGAAAAAAACCTAAGATACAAAGCATTTCAAACACTGCATTTGGTAATATTGTCAATGGAAATTGATAACTTCAATTGCTAAACAGTTGGGCTATACAGTGTATCATTAAAGACAATGCAGTGTATCACTAAGGACAATGGTAGCAGATTTTATTTCATTGTTAGTCAAACTGGAGTGAACCACTTACTACCAAATTGACACTATACAGTAAAGGATGAAATGACATGGTATTTTTCCTTGAAGTCATTAACGATGTACCCCAACAACAACAACCTGTTCTTGAGGAGGTACAACCTGAAGTAAAGGAAAAGGATACACAGGACTAACATTTCACCACACAACCACATGTGAGGACGGATTTAAGTTAATCATATAGTGGGGGCACTTTCCCCACTAAAATTTTTTTCATTCTTTTTTATATATATAAAATATTAATTTTATAAAATATATATTATTAATTATATTTTAATTAT